AAATTCAGGACCATGGGATTCATAGGGCAGCAGATGGGGAAGTTTTAGTGGGAGCAGGGGATGGCAAGGAAGGTGTCCCAAGAAAATGGAATATAACTCTCATTATTCCTGGGAATTTCAGTTCAAGGACATTGGAAAAGGACTCAGCCCATAAAAGTTGCAGAGAGGAAAGGGAAAATGGAAAAGGGGAGAGAGCAGAAAGAGAAAAGGGAAAAGAGAAAAGGGAAAAGAGAAAACGGGAAGGGAGAAAGGGAAAAAGGGGGAAAGGGGGAAAATGGGAAAATGGGGAAAAAGGGGAAAAAGGGAGAAGGAAAAACAAGGGAAAATGGGGAAAAGGGAAAAAGGGAGAAGGGGAAACAAACAAGGGGAAACAAGGGGAAACAAACAAGGGGAAACAAGGGGAAACAAGGGGAAACGGAAAAGGGAGAAGGGAAAATGGGAAAAGGGAAAACAAGGGCAAAAGGGAAAACAAGGGAGAAAGGGAAAACAAGGGGAAAAGGGGAAAAGGGAAAACAAGGGGAAAAGGGGAAAAGGGAAAACAAGGGGAAAAGGGAAAAAGGGAAAAAGGGAAAAAGGGAAAAAGGGAAAAAGGGAAAAAGGGAAAAAGGGAAAAAGGGAAAAAGGGAAAAAGGGAAAGGGCTCCTTTCCAGGACAGCCAAGAAACCTGAAAAAAGCTGGAGAAGACAAGGAAGGAGAGAGCAGGGCAGCAAGGTGTGGCATCCCAAAGGTTTCTAGGTTTGGGTTATGAAGTTTTTAAAGAAACACTGAGTTTTTCAGTTATTCCCTGGGAAAAGGAGCAATGGAAAGGTCAGATTAGTCCATGGAAATTGGGAATTTAGAGCAGGGAGCAGAGGAGCAGGAGTGGGGTGATCCCAGCACCTCTTGCAGAGTTAATAGAGATTTAATAAAAAACAATTAATTTTGGAGTCAGATTCAAGAAAAAACCCTCTATAAGAAAAGGAACAAGTCCTACTTCTATTGATGTCTTGTTCTCAGACAATTTAATGCCAAAAGCTTTTAAAAAGCTTTTGGCATTAAATTCAGCTCCAACATTAACTTCTGAATAAACAGAGCTCTGACATCAGCAGCTGCAATCCTGATTGGATTATTCCTGATCTGATATTTCCCATGGGCATTCCCAAGCTTTTCTGGTCACTGATGTCAACATCCATCAGAGCATTTCCCACTATTCCAGGTGGGAAATGTGGTATCAGGTTCTGCAATGGTCAGCACAGGAATTGTCCTGTTGACATCCTACCCATATCCATGGATATTGTTTTACTGTTTCAGGAAATTATCAGGGCACAAATCATGCCCCAGGGATTTGGGGCAGGTAGAGCAGAGCTGATTTCTGTAACTTAGGGAAAATAACTACCAGAGATGGAGATGTAAATGGGAAATAGCACAAATTTTCTTGGAAGCAGATGTGTTGTCCCATGAGGAACAGCTACCACCATTCTCATTTTCAGATCATCAAGAATGTACCAAAAAACCAGATATAAATCAGTCCCAACAGCTCAGTTATCACTGCTGGGGTCACCAGGGCATAGCACCTTCTGCACAACCCAAAGACCACAATTTGTTCTTCTCCCTTCCCCACAGAGCAAATATCTTCCTTATTTTCCAGGACAGCCCACAGGGCAAATGAACAAACTCAGCAGTTTTCAGAACAAACCAGCATTAAAAATCTCATCCTAGATGTGCAATAGAACAGTCTTAAAACCAGCTGGCGTTCTCATGCTAAAACATGAAATATGTTTGTTATAACTTTGTGCTATTCCTGTAGGTTTAAATCATCCATATTCTCATTGCTTTTCTCAGTAGGATACACCTTTATATTTATGTTTATACATAAATACATCCAATGAACATGCACATGTTATGGAAGCTCTGTCTCAGCTTCAGCTTGGGCTACTCACCCATATTCTTCCTGTTTTGCCACTGCCCAGGGGTGTTTAGGCCCCCTTTTTTATAAAGCAAAGCACTCACCTTGAAGTCCCAGCTGGACCTCAACACCTGGCCAGTTTGGTCAAAGCCTTATGAGCCAAACTATGAATATTTCTATCAAACCCCTCCTTCTCCTGCTCCATCACCAGCTCTCCAAACATCAGCCCCCTGCCCTTGTCCACTGTTCCAGGTCCAGAACTCCTCCTGAATCCCAAAACCAGATGAAACCCACATCACCCAAACCCCTGGCCCTGTGTAAATGCAATATATGATGGAATGTGCAGCAGAAAGGAGGCTTTTATGGAATCCCAGACTGGTTTGAGTTGGAAGGGACCTTAAATTCCTCACCATTCCACCCCTGCCTTGAGCAGGGACCTTTCACTATCCCAGGGTGCTCAGAACCCTCATTTTCCTAAAGATCTGCTCTCTGTCCTCATTTCTTCCCTCATCATTTTCTGCCTCAAGACTCCTGCCAAATGCTTAAACCATATTTTCCATCCAATGGGATGGATGACTGCTCCCAAAACACCCCTCTGGAAGGGGCTGTGCTGTGCTCCAGATGTTCTGGAGCAAGATCCAGCTGTGTGAGGCCAGCAAGGCAGCAGCCCCTAATTCATCAGCCAGTTTTAGTACCTGAGCCACACTGAGCTATTCCCATTGAGTTATTACTGAGTTCAGCACCTGAGATGCACTGAGTTCTCTCCCTGTGCTGATTTGAAGGAACTTTATTGTCACACTATGATATTTTCTGAAAAATCTCTTTGACAGGATTTTTCTCCTGAGAAGATGAGAAGCCTCAGCTTCTCCATGTGTTGCTGCTCCGGAATGTGGCCTGGAGATTGTTTATCCAAACATGTGAATTGTTTTAAATTATTGGCCAATCACAGCCAGCTGTGTCAGACTCCAAGTCTGTCACGAGTTTTTATTATTCATTCTTGTTAAGCCTTCTGATGTATCCTTCTCTTTCTTTGGTATAGTTTTAGTATAGCATTTTCTTATAATATCATAATATAATAAATCAGCCTTCTAAAAACTTGGAGTCAATTTCTCATCTCTTACCTCGTCCTGGGGACACCAAACACCACAACACTTTATTTCCATGCTGATACAAATAATTATTGCTTTATAATAAATCTTTACATTATGTTTCTATGAATGTTGTTACACAAATGTTTTTACTGCAGTGAAGAAAACAACACCTGACTGTGGAGCACCCTAAATTATGTCATGCTAGACTGCAAATGATCCATCTGCTGCCTCCAATTAGCCAGGAAGGTACGAGGGGCCTGGGAGAGGATGTGGATCATCATTTCATGCCTTGCTCTGCCAGTGTGCAATGGGATACTGGGAACTAATGGGTGCCATCTGCTGTGAGCATGGAAAATGGGATAATGCACATCAGTCCCTGATGGCTCTGTCAGGGACATATTGCTGGGAGGGATTTGTTATCCCAGCTCCTGCTAGGCTGCATTTCTGCATTAGTTTCTATCTTAATGAAGAAATGATTTGTAGCTCTTGTTTTATTCCATGCACACAAAATATATCAGGTTTTAATAAAGTGTCCATTAGTCTGTAAGGTCCATTCCAACCCAAACCACTCTGGGATTTCAAGCATTGCTAAGGCCCTGGTAAAGTTTTTAAAAAATTAATCAAATATAAAAAAGGAAAGAAAATAGAAACCAAAAAAAACCAATTTTATGTCAAGCTCTCAGCCATAGCTGTATTTTACAGCAATCCTAAAGGTTTCCCAAGTGGCCAAACAGGGATGTCTCACACAATCCTCACAGAAACTCATTAATTATCAATTTATTTGAGCTGCCAAATGTTTACATTGCAATATTTTCACATTATTCCATTTAAATCTCCCTGCAAGACTCCTGTGATTGTCAGCAAACTGGAGGGATGGTTCTGGAGGAATTCTCTAGCAACAAAAAAAAAGATCACAGAATGGTTTGGGTTGGAAGGGGCCATCCAGTGCCACCCCTGCCATGACAGGGACACCTTCCACTGTCCCAGGCTGCTCCAAGCCACATCCAACCTGGCTTTGGACACTTCCAGGGATGGCAGGATTGTGCTTTCCCTGCATGCTGAGAACGGTCTCTCAATAATTATGTTTCTATTTCTATATTGAATATTCAAATTTATGCAGCCAAGTATTGCAAATTAACTGATCTCAAACTACTCTATTTGAAATGCCAAGGAATTCCTGCCCATGGGGATGCTCTGTGTCACCAGGGCTGTGAAGGGATGGAATCAAAATCAGGATATTTGTTCAATAACCACAATATTTTGTAATTAAGGAAGAGATTCATAAACTTGAGATTTGTGCTTGATACATCTCTGGCTGGCAAGAATTGCCAGGAAATTCAGTCTTCAAATATTCTGCCACTTCTTATTGTGGAGAAGGATGGTAGAGGAGGGATTGACCATGTTACTACAGCATCCCAAAAAAAGCCCAAGAGCTCTAGCACCCAGATAAACCCCCCAGGAAAAGATGCTTATCCATGAAGATGAATGAGTGTCCCAGATTCCTGCCTTAATGAAGCCTATTTTTATAGCCTGAATATGGATTTGCAGTTTCTCTTCTTTTAGCTCACGTCCAAAGGAAAATGTTTATATAGAAGTGCTCACTGACATCCAATTTCCACCTCCAAAATCCTATATAAATACAGAATTTAAACCCCCCAAACTGCTCTTCTTTCAGCCATCCACCCCATCAGGATAACCACAATTATCCTTTTCCATACAGGAATAACACTCCAGAGTTGCAAAAATCAAACTCTTTGAGCTTCCAATGGATGTTTAGGGAAGGAAACACAAATATAAACTAATTTTTTATGTCCACAAGCAAGGGACTGTCTACATTTGGCTGCTCAAGTGCAGAACAAACCCATTCCTCACTGAGGTGGGGCCTCCTTCTAGCACAAATCCAGTGACTCCAAAAGAATAAATCCGCTCCCAATCTCTTCCCAAACGGCCAGAACCACCTGAAAGCTGCAAAAATCCTGGAGAAAATATCAAAATTCAATATTTAATTCTTAAGGAGCACTTACCCTTGGAGGGCTTTTTCTCCAAACCAGTCCCCCTTGCCCAGAGTGCGCAGGAAGACGGGATCTTCACTGGGAGAGTCCTCCCTGGTGACATTCACCTGTGGGAAAGTCAAAACCCCACGGGATTCAGGGAACTTTTAATTAACACCTAAAACCTCAGAGGGGAATTTTTTTTATCTCCTGGATCTCTCAGGAAAAGCTCCTTTAGGAACCATGGGATTCCTGAACCCTGCATTCTTCTCTTGGCATCCCCAAACAACCATCCAAGAACATGAGCGGTGATTTTTCCTACTACCTCCACAAAAACACACAGCTTTGGATTTTTGGGAATGTTTTTAATTCTGGACATGGAGTTGGCTGCACAAGCACAGTCACAGGAGAATAAAATTCCAAAAACTTGCTGTGTATCTATCATTTATGGCCTAAAGCTTCCATTAGCTTTGTTCCACATGGCTCCCAGCATTCCCAAGTTCCCTGAAGGGACAGGAAGAACACAAATCACCACCATTGGGGCACAACTGAAGTGTCCAGTTTGGGGCATTGCAGGATGGAGTGTGGCTCTGCTCTCTCTCTAGTTCAGGATGGGGACAACTCCAACTGGAGCAGAAATCAAATATTTCCATAATTTCAACCAGAACTTTTGCATGTGGAAATTGCGAAAGCTAAAAGGTGAGATGTCAGGCATATCCTTTTGGACTCAGTGATATCCTGGTGTAAATTCCCTATTAAATTAAAGTTGGGGCCTGCACCTTGTCCCAGCTCTTTAAGGGATTGCAGAACCAGTGGGTTTGAGAGGTTAATGAGCAGCACACAGTGCTGAACACCTGCACTGACTCATGGAAGGGCAGGGAATGTGGGATGGATGAGCCAGGAACACCCCTGGACAAACAGAGGGAACTTCAATGCATATTTCAGTCCTTTTTTCAAGATTTCCAATGATCCCAAGCAAAGAGTGTTCAGGGATTAGGACAGAGTGACTTCTACAATGTTCAAAGCTCTGAGCCAGCCTCCAGTGGGGAACCTGAATAAAATTGGTGCCACATTGTGGGTTTTAAAGGGAAAAGGGTGGGAAATGACACAGCAAGGCCTATGCTGCCTCTGGATGTGCAAGCAGCACTTCCCAAGCAGAAGGGAATGAGCCATTTCCATCCAATATTATCCCACAGATTCCTGCACACAGCATGGTTGGAAATCACTTTGATTTCTGCTTGGTAGGACCTGGGGAAACAAGATAAAATAAATACACTAAAGGAGCTCAGGACTGGGGTCAAGTGGGGTGGGTGGAGCTGACAGGGAAGAAGGGAAAAAGGAATTTGGTCCTAAAAGAATTATCAATATAGGATGGGCTAGAAGAAAACAGAGCAGAAGTTTTCTCAGTATTTCTGAGAGGAGTGATGGGCTCAGAAATGTAAAAAATTATCTCTGCTCACTTCAGCCTGGAAAAGAGGGCTCCAGGGCAAAAAGGTACAGAAGAGCTAGAAAGGGACCTGGGACAAAGGATAGAGGGACAGGACCCAGGGAATGGCTTCCCAGTGCAGAGGGCAGGGATGGATGGGATATTGGGAATTAGGAATTGTTCCCTGGCAGGGTGGGCAGGCCCTGGCACAGCTGTGGCTGCCCCTGGATCCCTGGCAGCGCCCAAGGCCAGGCTGGACTTTGGGGCTTGGAGCAGCCTGGGACAGTGGGAGGTGTCCCTGCCCACAGCAGGGGTGGCACTGGATGGGATTTAAGGTTCCTTCAATCCACACAATTCCATGATTCTTTGTGACTCCAGACACTGTGACGTGACAGGCATGGCAGACACTCCCTAAGGAGCTGTCCCTGATCCTGCTCACGCTGCCTGCAGACACTGCAGGTGTGCTCCCAGGAGCTGCTGCCAGCATTTTCCTGCCTTGCTGAGCTGCCCGAGTCAAGTTTTACCACAGGACACGGGAGGTGATGTGCTCCAGCTTCTGCAGGTGCCAGGCAGCACACACTGACTCTAAAATCCTGTATTTTGTTGTCATTTATTCCCTGTTTCACTGCTGAGCCACTATCCAAGGCTTAGCATGGATTAATTATTACATCCATCCTAAGCCAGGCATTAAAATTAAACTCTCTCCAGCTCCATCCACCCATCAGCCACTGGTGTCTCTTTTCCAAAGCAATAAGCTTGAAAGAGAAAACTGGGCAGGATTTAACTATCCCTGTGGGAATTTCTGTCAAGCCATCAGGCTCCAGCTGAGAGTCCGGGAATTTTTTAGCAAGTCCCAGTGCCTTGTTTTATTTTAGCTCCCTTTTTCTGGCCTGCAGCTGTCACAGCAAGATAAAGGAGCAGAGGCCAGGGACAAAGCTAAGGAGCTGCTGCAGGAGGAGTCCAGGGCTCTGGAGCAATGGCCAAGGCCATGGGAGGTCTTGTCCATCCTCTGGGGGAGGGTTAAGGGCTGCAGGCCAACAACTGGGATTCAGTTTTTACATTTCTTTGTAGATTGGGGAATGTTGGAATGAGTCCAGAGGAGCCATGGAGTTGTTCCCAGGGCTGGAGCCCCTCTGGAGCCAGGATGAGAGCTGGGGGTGCTGGGGGTGCTCACCAGGGAGAGCTCAGAGCCCCTTCCAGAGCATAAAGGGGCTCCAGGAGAGCTGGAGAGGGACTGGGGACAAGGGATGGAGGGACAGGACACAAGGAATGGCTTCCCAGTGCCAGAGGGCAGGGCTGGATGGGATATTGGGAATTAGGAATTGTTCCCTGGCAGGGTGGGCAGGCCCTGGCACAGGGTGCCCAGAGCAGCTGTGGCTGCCCCTGGATCCCTGGCAGTGCCCAAGGCCAGGTTGGACTTTGGGGCTTGGAGCAGCCTGGGACAGTGGAAGGTGTCCCTGCCCATGGCAGGGGTGGCACTGGATGGGATTTAAGGTCCCTTCCACCCAGGCCATTCCCTGGGAAGTGATGGGATCCACCTGACCAAGTGGGGCAAAAGCCTCAGTGGCCAACACAGCTCCAAACACTCATTGTGGGAGGGAGATGTAGATGTGGAAGAGAGACGCACCATCCCAATATTTTTCTCCATGAAAAAAACAGCAAAAGAAAAAGAATTTGAAGCTTGGCTCATGACTGTCCATACCCCGAGAAAAGAGGGAATATTATTTCTGATTGAAGGCAAGTGAAAGGGCATCAAACCAACTAACTTGGATTTCTGCAGGCTATGATTAACTTCATTTCAAAAACTTCTCCATGACATTCCTATTGATCTGAAAAAGACCATTTTTTGCCTTACAATAAAAACTGGCTCCCAGAAAGTGGAAGATGATGGTGGAAAATGAGTTGGCAGCTGGAAATCACTGTGTATTCCCTCCAAAATCTCCATCCTGTTATGTGGAAAGAAGCCAAGTGTCTCTCAAGTGTATTAGGCAGGCTAAAAAAATTATAAATAATTGTTAAATAGAAGGAAGAAACTTGGTGTATAAAATCCCATCAGTGTTTTATGGGAAATGAGGTCAAAAATATTTTCCCTGTGAGCAGTGGAAGAGAAACTTAGACCTTTTTTCCCCTATGAAGAGAGCTCAGAGATCCCTGCCTTTCTATTATTTGGAGAAGCTGGGAAGAGACAGCCATGGGAATGAAGCCTGGAAGCCAGCCTTGGAAGGGGGAAGCTTAGCAAAGAAATCATGGGAGTATTGTAGGATTTATTTCAAAGAAATTGAGTTTCATGGCCATTTACCCAGAGACTCAACAACAGTTTCCACCCCAAAGTGTTGCCTGGGAGGATGGAGATTTCATTTTCAGCCCTTCAGGCTCCTTTCACCCAGCCAAGGAGCTCCAATAAATATCAAGTTCTGGCACATTTGTGCCTTGAAAGGGGAGAGAGAGGCTGGAGCAGGATTTTGGGAGCCCCTTGGCCTGGGAAGCTGTGAACTCACCTTTCCTTTGCTGATGATAAAGAAGGTGTCCCCTCGAGCCCCTTGGCGGATGATGTACTCTCCGCTCTCGTAGTGAGTCTGCAAGAGGCAAAGGAACCAAATGAAGATGAACAAATAAAAGCAGAGCCTGTTCCCCAGCCCATATTTTGGCAGCTTTGCAAGAACATCACCTTGGACCCATTTTATCCCAGCTTGACATTGGCTGTGACTTAAAGATTGTCCTATGGTAAGGAATGGAATAATTAAACTGGAAGCATTTGTGGCTTGCCCATTTTTCTTCTGGCTGTGCTGGTGCCAGCCTGTGCCCAGATGAATTATCCTCACAGCCTGAATCCATTTTTAGCACATCAACGAGACAGAGGAATTTCCAACAGGGAATAAGCTACATGAACTAAACTGTAATAAGAAGTCTGGTATAAAAAATTTTTTTTCTCCTTTTTTTGTTGTTGGTTTTGGTGGTTTTCCAGCTTTGCTAGAAAGGATTTTATTCAGCAAGTAAGTTTTGCTTTTCTCCTGTTATTACAGTAATTTAATCTGTCCATTTTTGCTTTATTTTGTGGAACAGCCCTTGCTAAATTCATGTCACAGCTTATCAATGCTGGCATCTAAACTTGTTAGGACACTTTCATCCCTTGTGTCACCCCATCAAAAGCAATGTGCATTTACACATCACTAAAAAACCAAAATATTTTCTAAATCAAGACTTTCAATTGATATTTAGACACCCCCAAACCTTGTAATTTTTTATCCCAGATGCTCTACCCTTGCAAATTCAACCAACAGCAGGCTGGGCGATGCCAAGAGCTTCCCCTCCAACCTCTCCTGCATCCCCCCTTGGGATAAATGTCTTTTGGGTTTTTCAACCATGACCAGGAGAGCTGGAGGTATTGAGTATTCTATCCCAGCCCAAATCTGGGACAAAATCACTCCAAAAATGCCCTGCATTCACCATCAGATCTTCTAATCCCAAAGTAAGTATAAACAAGCAAAGACTGGAGCTAAAACAGGGGAATTAATCCAAAGCCTCAAATTTGGTTAAGCTTGAGAATTTTTTTCAAAAGTTTTGTGTTGACCTGAGTTTGTTTATTTATCTTTATATCCAACCTTTTTATCATTTACAGACTGATAACAGAACGCCCAGCTTTTCCCATTTTCATGTGCCAGAGTGGGAAGAGAGAGGGAAAAAAAGTTTGGACATAAACTTGTAGAGTTTTACTGCTTATGTTGGGTGTTTCTGGAGAGCAGATTTAAAGTGCACATTTTGACCATCCATGGTGAAATTCCTTGGAAGGGCCTGATTTTAGGTGGTGTTAGGATCAGACCCCTCCTCAAGTGGAATCTTGTAAGCACCCAAAAATCTATTTAATGAAAATACTGGGCTAACGGCTTCTAAATTTACAACAGGTAATCCATTTTAATTAGAAACATTATTGGCATTTTTTATATGATTTCTGGGCAATTTAACATGAGAAACCTGCTCCCTAAAAGGCCATTTCTTGGTCCTGCTCACCAACTACTACCAGCACCAACAACTGCAGAACTGAGTCTCAATCCTGCTGGTGTAACCAATTCCCACCCACAAGTTCTCCCAACCTTTTAACCCATAAATTCCATTCCACCCCTAAATCTTCCCAATCATTCCCACACATGGCTCTTCCCAACTCATGAATCCTAACCATTCCCATGCATGAGTCTTCCCAAACTTCCCACCCAGAACTCTTCCAAAGGAATGGGAGGAACACAAACTTGAGCTTCAAAGCACCCAAAGCTGCCTCTCACTTCAGCAAATTTTGTCTCTTCTTTTTTAAACCAAGCTCTAATCTCAGCCAAATCCTTCCAACATTCCAATCACATTCCTCTAGTCCCTCCTTAAGTGCCCAGAGCTTTCATTTCGCTTGACCTGCTCCTCACTGGCGCCTCTTTCCACACCCTCCCTGCCACCCACATCCTCATGTTTATGTATTCCAAGCCATTTATTTCACAGCTAATTCCACACACAATTTTTCGTGCTTGAATCAACCCATCCTTCCCATCCTTCAGCAGAGCTCCTGCTCTTAAATCCTTGTTTTCTAACACAAATCAGCTCATCCATGTGCTTCACCCTTCTAAAGGGATTCTTGCTACCTGCCCAGTGTCAGCGCATCATCCTGGGCAGGCAAAGTGCCCAAGAGCTCACTCAGGGCACATGGAAATGGGAATAAAGACCAGGCTCTTGCTTTTAGCCCCACTTGAGAGGCAGCAATACCTCCTCAGGTACCTCTGGTACCATCAAATATCTCTGAAGAAGATTTTGGCAAAAGTTCACAGATTCCCAGAATGACTGAGGTTGGAAAAGACCTCCCAAGACCATGGAGTCCACCTGGTAACTCACTCCCACTTTGTCCCCAGCCCAGAGCACTGAGTGCCACCTCCAGCCCTTCCTGGGACACCTCCAAACCTCCCCTGCCAAGGCCTGAGCATCCTTTCCATGCAGAAATTCCTGCTGCTGTCCAAGCTGAGCCTCCCCTGGCCCAGCTTGAGGCTGTTTTCTCCCATCCTGTCCCTCAGCACACAGAGAAGTGGGAATCTTTCACAAAACAGCATTTCCAACCTAAATGAGCAAAAGTGACGTTCTTCCTTCCTTTGAAGCCCTCCATCAAGTGCCTTCCATGGAGATTGCTGTTTGTCCAGTAAGAACAGCTTCTATAATAATACCAGGGCTTTTTATTCCCTTTACTTCTATTTTCAGTTTTACTTAAAGTGAGCAAAAAAAATCCCTTTACCAAAGCAGGGGAAGAATGCTCACACAGCAGGTTTGAGAGGATAAGACATGGATAGGTCACCATGACCTGCTCCAGGTTCCCCACAGGAGAAGTACCAATCTCACGATCAAGTCAGATTTGCTCTAAAAAAGGTAACTATCCCATTTTATGAAATCCCCCATCCCGTGCAGAATGCCAAGGAGTGGACATGGACATTTCTTTGAGTGGAGAAATACCAAATGCAAGCTTTCTTCAGGAGTGACTGGTAATTTATGAGACCAACTTACCTTGAAAATGGACAAAATTAGGAATAGGGGGCCCAACAGCACCAAATTTTATCAATAAACTCCTTTATTGAGCCCCAGTGCTCCCAAGGATGAAAATCTCCCATAGATACAGGACCCAAAGCAATGTACAAACCATATTTCAGTGACCACCCCAATCCATCCATCTCAGAACAGTTATATGTGTGATTAATTTCTTTGTCCCCAACACACCAGGGCACATCTCAGCCACCACACAAAAAACCATCACCTTTGCTACTTCAAACCTTCACATCTGGCTGAGGACTTTGCCCACTGAACTTGATTGATCAGTCACAAACTTCAACTGGAGCTTCTGCTCCTAAATACCACCAAAAATGAGATGTCTGAGAGGCCAACCAGGCCTTATGGAGAAACCATGACTAAAAATGAGATGTTTGAGAGCTCAACCAGGCTTCATGGACTAAATCTCAATTAGGCCTCATGGAGAAACCTCAACTAAACCAAGATGTTTGAGATCCCACCCAGGCTCATGGAGAGACCTCAACCAGGCCTCATGAAAAAACTTTGACTAAAAACAAGATGTTAAAGATCCCACCAAGGCCTCAAGGTGAAACCTTGACTAAAAATGAGATGTTTGAGATCCCAGTCAGGCCTCATGGAGAAACCTCAACTAAAAATGAGATGTTTGAGAGCTGACCAGGTTGTGCGGAGAAACCTTGATCAGGCCTCATGGAAAAACCTCAATTAGGCCTCAGGGAGAAACCTTGACTAAAATTGAGATATTTGAGAGCCTGCCCAGGCTGTGTGAGGAATCCTTGACTAAAAATTAGATGTTTGAGAGCTGACCAAGTTGTGTGGAGAAACCTCGACTAAAATTGAGATTTTTAAGAGCCTGCCCAGGCATTGTGGAGAAACCTCAACTAAAAATGAGATGTTTGAGAGCTGACCAGGGCTTGTGGAGAAACCTCAACTAAAAACGAGATGTTTGAGAGCTGACCAGGTTGTGTGGAGAAACCTTGACTAAAATTGAGATTTTTGAGAGCCTGCCCTGGTCTTGGGAGGCATCCTTGACTAAAAACAAGATGTTTAAGCAGGACCAGGCCTCACGGAGAAACCTTCAATCTGGAGCCCAACCCAACAGTTAAACTTGAGAAAAAGTTCATTTTTCCTCCCCCTGGATGCCTCTGGCTGCCGTGTTTATGCTGAGAATGTTTGGGAAAAAGTGGGAAACAGAGAGTTTGGAATGCCCCGTGACCCACGGCGCCAAAGGCCCCCTCAGGGGAGCAGAGGCACAAAGGTGGCTTTGAAACGAGGACTTCAAAGCTGGAGCTGAGTTTGGACCACAAAAAACAGTGACAGCAACACGGGTTGATGACAGTTCTCCATGTCCCACCCATTGCATCCAGGGTGTTTTTAAAATAAAATAAAAATAACCTAAATATGGTTATTTTGCTGGCGCTTTAAAAAATATTCACAGAACTGCCAGCAAAACTCCAAACAGAAGCAGCTTTTAGAAGATCTATTTTTCCTGTTCAGGATTTGCTGCCTTAAACATCCTAAAATGACAACAGGTATGCAAACAAAATAAAATGGAAAAATATATTTATTTGCTGAAAATGCTAAAAAACCAAGCAGGTAAATATCAGTCTTCTGTACTGAACTTAAAAATCACACAGATTTGTTTCCCTGGTTTTACCATGTGTAAAACTCCCAGGGATTATCTAAAAATGCTACAGCTTGAAATAGCCAGAGGGGAGGATTATGCTTTTCTAGTCCTCTCCTCATTTATCCCTAATTTTTGACATTTAAGACATCTCAAGACCCAAGCAGCAGCTTAACTAGAGGGCAACAAGTGGGAAGTGAGGAGGGGAAGAGAGGGTTAATTCATGCCCTTAATTCCATGATAATTATGGAGCACAGAATTGAGAAAGGAGATGAGGAAGGGGAACCTCACTGTGACCTTCTAGGACCTGAAGGGAGACTGCAAGAAAGATGGAGAGAGACTATTTCCAAGGGATGGAGAGACAGGACACAGGGAATGGCTTCCCAGTGCCAGAGGGCAGGGCTCCAT